TCCGCCATCGACGGCATAGCCTTGGCACTTCCGACTGCCATAGCCTTGAATGTTCTTTCCCGTAACGCGGCAGCTTCTGGAAAAGCTTTGACACGAGGTATCTGCGGCCCTTTAAACGACCCTTTATGACATCACCGACGGCCCTCCAATGGACACAGCCAATCAGCTAATGGGATAAAGCGTTCCCGACTCTGTCTGCGGCTCTCGTTATCTGTGTCATTAACTACCATTAGGATTAGCGCGGCCCCGCACGCCGGCCGTCCCGATAATAACGCTGCAGATCCGCAGAATAAAACACTCATTAATGTAAATTGGTCACCGCAGCAGAAAAACTCTCCGTGGGTTAAATGTCGCATCTTTTCTTATTAACTGCCGCTGAGATAAAGTGCAGCTCGCCGCGCCGAGGCGTTCCAGCGATATTTTAATGCCGCCGGGGTGACGAGGGCTGTGCGGAATTGAGGCGCCCATATGGCGAAGGCTTTGTTCGCCAATCTCGGAGTGATGTCTACGCGGTTTTTACGTTTCGTACTCGCCGGCTGTCATTTCCCACTCAGGATCTTGTGATGAGAGTGACATCAAAAATGGTTTTCAGGTAAATTAGAACATTAGAATTCTGAACGTGTCCCCGCGGAAAATACCTTCTCGTTAAAGCAGAGCCCATAGAACTAGTGACACACACACTTGCACGTTCCTAATTCTCTGCTGCAGTTAGCATTCCCAGGGTAAGGGGCATGTTATTGGGGTTGATGTAATACACCACTATGGCCACTAGATGGAGCCAAAGAGCATAGGAAGTTCCTATTCTCCTCAGCGCCATCTACTGGCCAGTGAAGTGTTTGCTATGCGAGCGGTTGATAAAGTCGTATTGCGGTCACAAAGGAGTAAAAAAAAAGCATAGATGCCAGCCGCATAGGAATGAATGGGATTTCTACAGAAAAAATGCATTTTGGGGCAGTAAGACAAGTTTAAATTCTTCAATGCACCTGTAGCCAAAAATTTGGGTAGGGAAGGGTGAGGGCCCATGTCTGGGTATAATCAATATCTCTCCCCGCTTGGGAGATTTCCCTTTATTTCCTGTTATGGTGACACCAGGAAGACACAAGCGGTGATTCAGGGCCCCTCTAGATCTTTGTTATGGACATTTTCATGACTTGAATACATGGAATTGCATTGCATTGCCATTCGTCTCAGCACACATGCATTGAAGATGTGAACCATCTGGGAGTTGTGGTGAACTCAGTGGTGTATTTACAAATCCTGCTGCCCTGGGCAAGACAGCAATGCCGCCCCCGTACTGACATTACGGCGGCCGACCGTCACCATCAGCAACGCCTCCCCATCAGCACAAGCCTCCATAACACACACACACCCCGGGCAGTCAAAGCGCCGCTGACCGCTGCCTGGACACCGCCGCAAGCCGCGTCGTTCACACAAGCCGCCGTCCTCGTCCCCGCCGCTACGATGGCCTCCGGTTCTCTTCCCTTGATAAATAAAATTTATCAAGGGGAGAGAACCACAGCAATTGCCGCTCTCAGGGAATCTGCCGCTCCAGGCAAAACGCCTTGTTTGCCTCGCCACAGATACGCCCCTGGGTGCACTGCGTTGCAAAAATTGGTGTTAAAGCATGATAGCGGGGACACCAACGCACCTCAGCGGTCTGAATCGGCCCTAAAATCTGCCCAAAGTTTCAACGTTTTACATTCTGCATGATTACAAATGGAGTTATATTGCAGCTTGCCGGTATTTAGATATGGCGGCTGCTTTAGTTTTTCTTTTTTCAGGCTTTTGCCCTTTATTTTCACCCGGTGATCCTGCCAGCGATACTTCCTGTCCCAGGGAGCTCTCCGGATTTGCACTGCAACCAACTCCCCCAATCCCCATCTGCATTACATTGAGCGGAGGATCTTCTGTAGTCCGCAGACATACCTGAAAACAATGTAACTGATGTAACGAACTGGAAACAATGTAACTAAGAGTACCGGCCAATCAGAGAGCACAGGAAGGTGTCAGCCGGCTGCATTTTTGGCAGGTTCAACGATTTTTTTTGAGCAGGTATAACAAGACGCTTTGCATTGGTGTATTTGACAGACCAGCTGGGAGGAAATCGGAGGCGTTCATTGTCGGGGTGTACATATCCTTTAAGGAGGTTGTAGCCCTTCTCTTCTATAATGTAAAGATGTTTGTGCCCCCATTGGAGGGATTTCCTGTCCTGGTGGCACTGGGTCCACGCTGTATTCTAGATCTCTACCTTCATCCAGTGCCCCCCAAAATTCCGATGCCCCCCCCCCCTCTCATTTCCTGTGCCATCATTAGGATCTGATGTAACCTGTGCGGTGGAGCGGCGTGCGCCCTGCCCCCCGTTCACAGTCTTCTCTATCAGATCCGTGTCTCCATTAAGAGCTGCGTTGGTGCTCCGCCAGCTCATCAGCTCCTAATGGAATAATGGAGGAGGGCGTCCATGTCTGACACGGGGGGGGGGGGGGGGATCTCAGACCTGTTTATGCAGCAAGAACAATACTAATATTGACGGTAATGAGTTTGATGGACTCGACTCGCTGGAAGGTAAAGCACCAAATTAACAAAGTGAGAGTGGTTTGTAATGGAGTTAGTACCGATCTCAGGGAAGGCGCCCGAGATAGCTCATGACTCGGCTGTCAGCGATTCAGCAGCTGCTTCTCCTCCGCAAGGGAACCCCCGGCGCTCCCGCATACCGTAGCCCTGTACACTGATATAGATTCAGGATAAAATAAACCCCTCTGCACCCATAAAGCATGTGATCGCTGACCCTGCACTGCTTCTGCATGAGCCGCGCTGTGGCCGTGATGCAACGTGTACCCATTAAAATCACTAAATGTCGCCTTTCCCTGGCAGGCTGGCGGCTCTCCAGTAACTGACGCCCCTAAAAACTATGCATCCCTCTTTTTTGAATCTGCAGCTTTCATTAAAATGATGCCTGGTTCCTGCGGGGGCGGGGTGCTGTACAGAGCTTCCTGAAAACGTCATGATGTTCTATCAAAGATTGTGACTGGGTTGGAATGTGTGACCGGTCAGGCGGTCACGTAATCCCGCCCACTTTTTTTTCGGCGGTGGAATATGTGACCAGCCTCAGTACTCCTCTCCGGAGCCCTCAGTCCTGATGCAAGCAGTCGGCTGGATCGTGGGAGGAGCTATGCAAATATAAAAATGTCTTGATGGACGGGTGTCGCTCTGGAAAAGTGGGCGTTCCCAGGCAGGATGTATTTGCATAGTTAACGCCCACATGTGATGATGAGCCTCCACGATTGACAGAAATGAAATCCAATGAATGGAAGGGGTGGGCCAGGGACAGTCAGGCTGGAGATGAAAGGGCTAGATGATGCTGTATGTCCTCCAGCCAGGAAAGGAGGCGGAGCTCTATCTGACTTGCTGCAGATTCTAATGCACATTGTGAGAAGCTCCCAGTGTGCAGTGACATCAGAAGAGAGGAGCCGGTACAACTGTGCAAGACTGAAGGGGAGGACGGAGGTCAGATAGAAGACTGAAGGGAAGGACGGAGGTCAGATAGAAGACTGAAGGGGAGGACGGAGGTCAGATAGAAGACTGAAGGGAAGGACGGAGGTCAGATAGGAGACTGGAGGGGAGGACGGAGGTCAGATAGGAGACTGGAGGGGAGGACGGAGGTCAGATAGGAGACTGAAGGGAAGGACGGAGGTCAGATAGAAGACTGAAGGGAAGGACGGAGGTCAGATAGAAGACTGAAGGGGAGGACGGAGATCAGATAGAAGACTGAAGGGAAGGACGGAGGTCAGATAGAAGACTGAAGGGAAGGACGGAGGTCAGATAGAAAGACTGAAGGGGAGGACGGAGGTCAGATAGAAAGACTGAAGGGGAGGACGGAGGTCAGATAGAAGACTGAAGGGAAGGAGGGAGGTCATTATTGGGTAGAGCCGGGTCCCCGTTCGGTGCCCCCATCCCCCGATATCCAGCAGATAATTGAGGTTTTGCACCTCTGAAGGATTTAGTACAAGTGATCAGACAGTTCTGTGATCTGCGCCTCACCCGCGGCTCCGCAGCGCGCCGATCAATACAGTTATCACAGCCTGTCAGGATTCCGGTGACAATGACACGGCGTGAGTGACTGTCAGGTGCTCGGCGTACCCGGCACGTCCGCCCATCAGACTTTGTGTGCATGGCGGGTGACACGGCGAGGATTTAATCCGAGGACTGATACCGCGGAGCCGCTCAGCTCTCCCTAATCCTCGCACCGTCGTCTCACATTACAGAGAAGAATCTCTTCCTTCCCTGGCGCCATCTGCAAGGGATTCCGGCACCATGTCTCCTGGATTGATAGTCCGTGTCACTCGCTGACTTCCTGCTGGTACACGAGCGACGCTCCCTCTCTGTGTTGTCTGCAGATCTTGTTGTCTTGTGGACCCTGAAAATGATTCTCCTCCTCCTTGACGTGTATGGGAACCCGAGAATTATATCCTCTGTGTCTGATGTCATCACTCTCTCTATACAGATTTGTAAAGTAAATGTTTTTTTTAATCTGTTACAAAGTATCTTACTTGGGGATCCTGCCAGTGACGCAACTTCCTGCTGGAGTGTGACAACCCTAAACCACTGCCTTGCAATTAGCAGCAGCGTTGTCACTGCTTCAGTTGGCCGTTGGGTTGCCTATCTGATCTAAACCCCTAACACTAAGCTGACCCCTGAACTAATCCCGAACCCTGAACTAACACCTCCAGCAGAGTACTTGCCTTACCCTGTGCCAGTGCATGACGGCTGCTTGTTCGGAGTTGTGCCAGCTAGGGAATTACTAGTACCAGCCAAGCCAATACCTGTAACCTACATACAGTACAACATGCAGACAGGGTCTCCCAGAATGCATCAGTCCCATAGCGCGTGCACCCTGTGTATTGCTGCTCGGATGTCCTGACGCCACATCATATCCGTTTAATGAATGTCATGAACATTGGCGCTGTGCCATCTCTAATCACGTGTTTTTCTCTCTTCTGTAGGTGAGCCGATCTTTATCCGCAAGCCGGATGACCAGATTGGAATATCGGGTGGCGTCGCGTCTTTCGTGTGCCAGGCCTCGGGGGACCCGAAGCCGCGCATCACCTGGATGAAGAAAGGGAAGAAAGTCAGCTCGCAGCGCTTCGAGGTAATTGACTTCCCGACCCGTCTGTCCTGTCGGTGTGCTGATCCGTGGGCAGCGATGGGCTTTGTTACAATGGGCCGCCAGCCCTTAAAGGAGAACTATGAGGGGGGTGCTTTTCACTCCCCTCATAGTTCTAGCCGACCTGTGACAATGAGACTGTCACAGGTCGGCTCAGTAGATCGGGAGGTGAGCGAACACATACCGGCGTTCGCTCACCTCTCGATCCTGTCCCGGCTCTCTGCCGTGACAGGGGGAGGGGCTGGATTCCCCTCTCCCCGCTCCGATCTGCCAGCGCTGACTGGCGGAACGGACGGGGGAGGGGGCGGGTACAGCTGGCTCTGCCTCTAGATAGGCAGAGCCAGCTGTCACTCACGCAGCTGGGCGGATCCAGACATCGATGTCGGGATCCACTCCGGCTGCGGCGTCTCAGTATACTGCGAGCTGTAGCTCCCTATATACTGAGCTTAGGGTGACGGGAGGACGCTAGTTTGTGTCCTCCCGTTACCCTAAGGAGAACTATGGGGAAAAGCCCTGACCCCATAGTTCTCCTTTTAAACCGGCTCCTCGCCCCTCCCCTGCCCCATCGGCCATCATCCTCCAGAGCGGGCGAGGACAGGTCACATCCTCTCTCTCTCTGTACCCCTGAGAAGTAAATTGGATTTTTTTCATGGAGAACCGCGCAGAGCTTTTAAGAGCTTCACGAAGATGAAAGCGGCCGACCTCAATAATTGTATCAGTCGGTATTACAGGCGGAAATCGAGACATTACATCCCTCTGTATATAGATCTGATTGTCACCCCCCTCCCCCGCCCTTATCTCCCTTCTCAGAGTCTGGCTGAGCTCCTGTCTCCGCATTTCCTGATAACACAATTCAGCGCCATCCCTTCAACAGGAAGACTTAAAGGGAAGCTCCACTTTGCCGGTCACATTTGAGAAAAGCTCCTCTATAGGATTGTCATGTGTTCCCATTCACACAGCAAGATTAAAAAAAACTATAAATAATATTTCTGAGACGTCTCTGTGTAGTTGGAGCCGTCACAAGCTTCTCTCCAAGTGACAGGGAACTCTGCGTGTCCCCATAGAGAGACCGGGGACAGGCCGAGCTTCCTCTTATTCACATGCAATGCTTCTAGATCTTTAACCCTTTGTTGGAACAGACACATCGAGTTCACCACTGATGATGAAATCCGTCTGCTTAGCATAGACAGGGTTAAAGGAGAACTATGGTGTTAAGTCTTTTCCCCATAGTTCTCCTTAGGGTAACGGGAGGACACAAACTAGCATCCTCCCGTCACCCTAGGCTCAGTATATAGGGAGCTACAGCTCGCGGTATACTGAGACGCCGCAGCTGAAGCGGATCCCGACAATTGTGCCGGGATCCGCTCAGCTGCGTGAGTGACAGCTGACTCTGCCTATCTAGAGGCAGAGCCAGCTGTACCCTCCCCCTTCCCCGTCCATTCCGCCAGTCAGCGCTGGAGGATCGGAGCGGGGAGGGGGGAATCCAGCCCCTCCCCTGTGGCGGCAGAGAGCCGTGACAGGATCGAGAGGTGAGCGAACGCCGGTATGTGTTCGCTCACTTCCCGATCTACTGAGCCGACCTGTGACAGTCTCATTGTCACAGGTCGGCTAGAACTATGAGGTGAGTGAAAAGCCTTATAGTTCTCCTTTTAATTATGCTAACTATACCTTGCCCAGGGGAAGGACAGGTGCTGCGTGTGATTTAGTACGCAGCCCTCGTCCTTCTCTGGTACTACGCAGCCGTACGCCGCCCTACGCTCACCAGTCCTGCACGCCTGCGTGGGTGCGGGTGTCCGTACTCGTACGCTGACAGGATGGATCCCCGTACGGACCTGCACTTGAGGTGAGCGTAGGGCGGCGTATGTCCGCATACTCCCATAGAGAAGAACGGGGGCTGCGTACTTATCACACGCAGCGCCTGTCCTTCCCGGGAGCTGCCCGATACGGCCGTGCACGCAGCACGGAGCTGTACGTGCCGTCCGATTCCTGTGTGAATGAGGCCTAAATGGTCCAAAATATAGAAAGTCCACAACAAGGACTGTGGCACCCCTGTGAGACTGTGGCAAGCCAGTCAATAGCAGATCTGATACAATGTACCTTTTCACATGCTCAAATATACATGTGGATGGCTACACTGTATCAGACTGGTCACTGCTGCTCTCTCTCCTTGTGCAGAGGGACTGGTCATGTCTCCTCCCCCTCCTGTAGTTTTTAGTAGTAGGCGTGACCTTCTGGGCCCCTCCCATAGCTCTGTTTTCTGCACAGGCCATGGACAGCATGGTGATGATGTCACTGCTACTGTTACAAGGTAATATCTGGATTTACAAAGGTATATGGACCCTTAGTACATTTACTCTGCACAGCCCTTTGCTATGGTCATTCTCTTCCACATCTGGACTCCCAATTATTTTATTATAATGAATAAGAATCCATCAGGATTAGGTGTCGCCATCATTAGGATTCACACGCTTAATGGAAGCGGGAACCCTGGTGGGGACACCCCCCAAAATGTGATTCAGCCAACAAGCACACAGGGCTGTTAATGGTATAATATGGTCAATAATGTTACAATCAGCCCATCACCTACATCCGCCCTGGACTGTAGAGCCGGCCTCACATGAACCTTTTCTTCCCCCAGGTCATCGAGTTTGATGACGGCTCAGGGTCCGTGCTTCGAATACAACCTCTGCGGGCTCACAGGGACGAGGCCATCTACGAGTGCACGGCCACCAACAGCGCGGGCGAAATCAACAGCAACGCCAAACTGACCGTGCTGGAAGGTAGGAGACCTCTGTTCATCATACAAGGCGCAGCTCTTTGTTATAAATGAGGCAGGCCACCCCTGTCTGACCAGTGGCAGGAATACTACAAGTCCCAGCATGCTTTGTCAGCCTCTATATTAGCCCAGGGGCCATAGGTTGCCTGATCAGGTTTTGTCTGTGGATGGGTTTTGTGGGCCGATGTACAGCCCCTCATAAGGGAATGGCGATTGCAGTGGTGGAAATCCTTTGTTTGGCAACAATATTGTTTTCATTTGACACATCATTATTCACCTTCGAGCTCCCGCGCAGACAATCAGAAATCACATTTGTCATAAGCTATAGACTGAGCAGGTTCCCGCGCAGGGGGACGGTATCAATAAAGACATCTTCTTACAAATAGGAAGCAGGTTGAGGAGTCCTCGCAGGGGATCTTACCTACGGTGAACCACGTAGCGTATTTCGGTGCAGGAAGACATGTAGCAAGTGGAGTCTCTCCTGTAATTGCTCCGAAACAATCCAAAAGTTGTGTCCTATGGAGCTGGAGGTGTCCTTGGGGCCCCGCGGGCTCTACCGACTATGACAAATCACTTCCAATCCATCTAGTGGTATTAGATGGAAGAGCGATGTGACCTCTCAGCTTGTCGCCCACCATCGCTTAGCTGTGTCCCCCCCTCCCCTCCATGCATGATGATCTGCTATGCGGTTTCTTCACACCTAGAGACCAGAGCAATTTATACATTTCTTCAATTCCTAAAATAACTTTGCCATTACTTAAGATAACATTGTAAAAATATATACATACACATATACACTGATATGGTGAAAAGTGATGCGAGGAATCTGACACAGCACTGTTGCCCTTCTGTTGTCTTGTACCAGTCTTGCCAGCACCGGTAGCATGTCCCATCTCAGGGTTAGAGCACAAGCCGACTCATGGCCAGACACCCAGCAGCTTCACACCTCCCTGTGTGGCGATGGTCCTCCCGACATTTCCAAACACACCTCATGTGCCACAGACCCTCTCGGCCTCTCCAGCTCAGAGTCTCGTGCGTCACATGCACACAGTCTCCCACACTCTGCATGTACTCCTCTTCCCCTCTGTCCACTCTCTTGATAGGTCTGTTATCAGCCACCTGGCAGATTGTGCGTTTTTTTTAAGTACCTTACAACCCTCGCAAGACAAAAGTCTTGCGAGGGTTGTAAGGTGTGTGCCCAGCACAAGACTCATAGAAATCTCCAGGGACCCAGATCCCAGTTATACTCCCGAAAACCCGGAAAGAACTGGAAACCCGGCTCCTTCCCTGTAACACTATAAGGTCTATTCACAAAAGGGTGGAGAAGGCCGGAGAAGGGAACAATCTAGGACAACATCGCAGAACTGGAAAGTGAGCTGAATTGGAGAATTTTTCCAAATCAGCGATGTTGTCCTAGATATATATATTTTTTTATTGTGATGCAGCGTGCCTTTATCAGCCCAGTATATTCTCCTCCAACATAAAAGGGGCGGAGTCAGGTTGGTGCACGGACTGCGCTGAATGTTTGTTTTTGTCATTGCGACACTGAGCTGAACCTTTTGATGTGAATGTTTTTGCTCTTGGCTCCCATGCGACGCTCGTGTCCGAAGACTTGGTTTGGGCGTCACCTTTTGTGACTCGCAACTTTTCATTAGCGATCCCTGTAATTATCTTTCCGCTGACTCCCCGCATTGTATAAACATCATCGCATCGCTACACCTCCATTTTGGGGATTTCTGAAATAACCGGCCTGGGTATAGTCTGTAAAACAAATAAATAAAAAACAAGTTACAATGTTTCTCTTGTGAAATTCTGTGTTTTACAAGTTTATAACATGAAGCGCGCTGTAACATCTGTCATCATCGGCAGGAAACCATTATTTGTCCATTAATCATTTATAGTGGATCTGAAGCCCGAACTTGTTTTAGTTTAGGTAGAGTAGGCAGTGGCGTCACAAGGGCGGTGCGGCCCGAACCCGGGTGACACCATTGGAGGGTTGACACCAAAATGAGTGACAGTCATTTTGGTGTCACCCCCCAATGAAAAGTCAGGCACTTGGTCATGGACTGAGAGCTCCACAGTATCAGGAGAGAGGAGGGGACCCGTTGGCATACCTCATCCCGCCGGGTGAACGTCCCCTCCTCTCTCTGCCGGCGTCCATCACCAAGATGGCCACCGGCAGGCGTCATTAGGATGATCACGAATGCGCGATGACGTCATCGCGCGGTGGCACCCGGTCTCCTCTCCGGGTGACACCCGGCTTCGGGACGCCCCTGTGAGTCGGGATGCCTAGCAAAATAAAAGATGTGTAGTATATAAGTAAAAGGTTTTCCCGCTCATGCGTCACCTGCAAAGTAAAATCCAGGCCTCTAGCTGTGGTGAAACTACAAATCCTATAATGCATCTGCCTCTGGGAGTCGTGCCTGTCAGTCGTGCAATGCCTAATGGGATTTGTAGTTGAACCACAGCTGGGGGGGGGGGGCACAGTTTGCCTACCCCTGCCTTGAACTTATCTAGGACAGCAATGTTCTGTTGCTGTATGTGGGACTCCTCAGCACTTTCCTAAAGGTTAAAGGAGTACTATGGGGTCAGGGCTTTTCCCCATAGTTCTCCTTAGGGTAACGGGAGGACACAAACTAGCGTCCTCCCGTCACCCTAGGCTCAGTATATAGGGAGCCACAGCTCGCGGTATACTGAGACGCCACAGCCGGGACGGATCCCGACATTACTGTCGAGATCCACCCAGCTGCGTGACTGACAGCTGGCTCTGCCTATCTAGAGGCAAAGCCAGCTGTACCCACCCCCTCCCCCTGTCCGTTCCTCCAGTCAGCGCTGGAGGATCAGAGCGGGGAATCCCTGGAGGGAGCCGTGAGTGACAGTCACCACTCTCTGCAGGGAGATGATAGAGAAGTGAGCGAGCGACGGTTTGTGTTCCCTCACTTCCCGATCTATTGAGCCGACGTGTGACAGTTTCATTGTCACAGGTCGGCTCGAACTATGAGGTGAGTGATTGCCCAAATGCTCCGATGCCTAGCCCGATACTTCCTGTATCAGGAAGGCGGGCAGCGCGTCATTACACGGTGCCCGGCTTCCATGATTGGCCAGCAAGCCGGCTCCATGCTTTCTCGTCACATAGTGGTGAGAAGCATGGGGGCGGCTTTCTTGTTAATCGGGAAGCCAGGTGGCGAGTCCTTACACGCCGCCTGGCTTCCTGAATGGGACTTCCGGTACTCGGTATTTGGTATCGGCGAGTACCGGAAAAAAAATATATCGGTAGTCGGTACCAAAATACCGGTATCGGTGCATCCCTAGTGCTCAGTATTGACGGCGATTCTCGGTTACTAGCCTACTTTCCGAGAAGGAACCCCAGGGAGGGGTTAACCGATGTTCCTGATATGAAAGCCGGCGGGGGATGGCGGTGACCTCTCCTCTGTCACGTTACTTTGCTGCCAATTTCACTTCCATGCGAGTCTTGATGACCCTTTTATTCGGCATTAGTGTGCGGGAACAGAGGCAGCCGCTCGGCGTGAGCTCGGAGAGCCATCTATCAGTTTATGGAGCCATGAATTTGGAACGCCTCCCCTGCCTGGTCCTGCTCTCTCTCTCTCTCTCTCTCTCTGCCGGGAAGACAAGACTCGTGTTTGGAGTAATTGAAAATTTCTTCTGTTGATGGAGTTGTAGAGGGGTGACGGGAGGGGGGTGACGGGGGGGAGGCAGAGACACCTCTGTTCCCTTCTTCTTCTTCCTCCTCTCCTCCTGGGCAGCTGATAGGTTGAATTATGCATGAGTCAGATTGAGCGTTTTCTGTCTTTTTCAATTATGACCCGAAGCAGTATAGAAAGTGACTCTTAATGCCAGCCTGGTGGGTGAGGGGGAAGGGCGGTGAGCGGGTAAGGTCAGGTTGCAGCAGATAAAGTCACACGCATTCCCAAGGTGAGAGTCAGATACAAGTTTGGCGATGAGATGACAAGATGCCGGCGCGCGTGTTTTATATTAAGAGTGGAAAGCTTATTAGCTACGCACCTCACCGGGGAGACATAACCGCCGGTGCAGCTCTGAGTACAAATCTCCTTTCATCGTCTTGACGTTCCCCCCCAGTGTTCAACATATGGCAGGCACCTGAACGCCAGACCGGCCCGGCTACTCCCATCACAACCTGTTCCCCCGCTCATTCCTCGCCGACAACCTTCCAGCGGTAACCTTCACGTTCCAACACGCACTTTTTATGGGGGGTTTTTTTTTTTTAGGATAACGCCGTGACATCGGTTGCTTATGGAAGAAGGATGATTATACCTCCATGGGAAGGGGTTCTCTACTGTAAGAGTGGGTTAAAGTCTCTGGAAACCCAAATGAGAAAACGAATGGCATCAGAGCCAGATATGCTCTCTCTGCTGCTCCAAGGCCAGGTTCCCCAATGCGTGCCTCTAGCCGCCAAGCACCACCTCCCTCCACAGAGAATGGCAGACCTGCCAAAACAAGCGGCGGCCTCCCCGCTGTACATTTAGCGCTGCTTGCCCAAAGCCGGGCTAAATGTAGAAAATGACCCGCCCAGTGCCCGGAACTGCATGTCCTGGGCATTGGGAGATAGAATTCTACTCCCTGCTGCCCCGTTGGCTTTGTGGGAAATATGGCCCTGGATGGCACACTGGGTACAGTGCATGAATGTTCCGCCATTTGGTTTTCCCAGAAACCTTTGTTCGGTAATAAAATACCTGCTGATCCTGCCGGTTCATTTTCTTCCTGGTTAGGGTCCCCAATGCCCCTCTCCCTCTGAGTTGTTACCCATGTGCCTGCGCTCCTAACCCAGTCCAATGCACGGCGTGCCTGTGCTAAAACTGCCGCCATTTAAAAAAGCCGGAGGATAGCTGCCACAAATACTCAAAAATAACACAATGTCACGGTATAGATATATACGAAAATGAAGAGAAGGCTACTCCATATTAATGGCCATGAGGAAGCGGGGGGCTACTCAATATTAATGGCCATGTGGAAGCGGGGGGCTAC